GGAATCACTTTTTCTCAAACCGTCTGTTTTTGTTTTCTTTGCCCGTTATGAGCCCGGGTGGTCTCTGCTTAGAAAAGGGAAGCTGGAACTCGGCCACTGTCTGGTGGCACCAGGAGCTGGTACATAGGAGATGCGGTACAGAGTGTGAGATTCCTGGCCGTCTGCTCTCAGTTTCTCACTATAACATTTTACATCACGAGCAGTGCAGAATAGGACAAGTAACACGTTAAACCAACATGTTCCGTTAATGACAAAAGCTTCACTAGGCCTTCCGCTATTTTGCAATTAGAAATAATTTGTTGCTCCCTCCCTTAAATGCTGTTTCATTATGTTTTAGGGTGCTATAAAAGGAAAATTGCAGGAGCTCGGGGCCTATGTTGGTAAGTCTTATGTGTTTAGCAATCTTTTTTGCATTCGTTGTTGTTAGATAGGGAACAACCAGATAGTTAATGGAACGGCATGTTTACTCACTGTTGCTTGTGTACAGAAGCCTTAATCATGAGACGAATGATCTAAAGTGCCAGACTAGTATGAAAGAAAATACTTCAGAAAATATGTCTTTTTAATGTTGTGTACAGACTTTACTTGATGAAATGAATACAGCTATATTAGTGCCTTGGTTCAAATTCACAATTTGAAGTGGATTTCCCAACTACCTTCACTCGCTATGCCATGGAGCAGTATTGGAGAGCATGAGGTGTTTGATGAAACTAAATTGAAGAAGGACATTTAAAGCCCTTGAACAATGAATGCACCACTTGGTCCTTCAGAGTAGATTAGAGATAGACTAAAGCAAAAAGCCAAATACCAAACTCCCCAAACCCTGAATGTCAGATTTTGAGCACTTTCCTGTCTGTTCTGATGAGTAGACTAACCATGTGTGAGCAGCCCAGCAAGGGAATGGATTTCTTGCTGTGTATGGAATTGCACTTGTTAGGGATTCACAGAATCAGCCTCTCGGGATTGCTGTGTTGTTTGGAGTTATTTTTGTAGATGGAATTTAACACAGTTTTGATTTGTTTAATGCAAGAATTTTTAAGAGGATATTTATATATCTTGTCTTTGTAACTAAAGGAAATTTCACCAGGATAAGGTGCTATAGTTGGCAATATTTGAAGTGATGAAAACTGTAGATGGTTATCAGTGTTATTTCTCACTCATAGCTGAAACTTATATTGAAGTTCAGATGAAATTAGCCTTCTTAATTTGCTTACCTAATCCTCTGCCTGCAAAATTTTCATAGTAAAACTGGAGAAAAAAACCTACTTACATGTTTGTGGATTTTTGCTACATCTTTTATGATTTATTATACTTCAGAATAACATATTTCTCTTTCTATTAGATGAAGAGCTCCCTGATTATATTATGGTTATGGTGGCCAATAAGAAGAGTCAGGAGCAGATGACAGAAGACCTTTCCCTTTTCCTTGGAAATAATACAGTCAGGTTTACAGTCTGGTATGTTTGTAAGCTACTTGTCACAGTTCTTACTGGTAATCAAGACCTCTTACTATAAGTGAAACCCGAGAAATTAGGAAGTTTCTAATCTTCCCATCATGTAATTTATATTAATCAAAACTTTTCAGGTCTAATAAGTAAATTATTTTTGGTTTATCAACATTTAGTCTGTTGCAGTGATAATTAAGTGGCAAAGGACTGGAGGGATAATACTCTTTGTTTGCTCATAAATCCAGTAAAGTTTCTGAATGAAGCGTGAAGTGCTCCGTTAAGTAAGGACCATATGTTGACTTAAAATAAAATATTCATTGAAAGCCCATTGTGGGCTTTAGAGTGTTATTCATTGTGGTTAGATGTAAAGCAGTTCTTCAGTCTTTTATGTTAATAGTGCATTAGATTGTTGTGCATGGGAATTACTATATCAGGACAGATGAGCAGTGGATCTAATTCTGTATACCGTCTTTGACAAGGCTTAGCACCAAATGCTTAGGTATTCCCACCTCTCAGGCTGTTTATTTATTACTACCACCCAGCTCAACAAAACAAAAGTAGAACCACAGAATTATTGAGCAGGACAAATTAGCAATAGATGAACTCTTCTCTAAACTCCTGAAAGTGTGGAGCAATTTATGCTATGCTGCATGACAGCCTTAGTTGTAAACTTACACTATAAAACCTTTAACTTACTCCATATTTGAGAGTATCCAAACAAGTATTTTACCCTAGAGATTTTCTTGATTTTGGAGTTCTGGGGTTTTTTTTTCCCTGCTTTTCCAGTTTGTTTTGTTCAAAGTTTTCATACTGACTGGTAACATTCACTTACAGTATTTCTTCTGTGTGATTAGTCAAGTTTCCCTTTATTTGGTTGGAAGCTTTTACGCTACTAAATAGCAGAAACATTTTAGAAGTTGGTTATGTTATGAAACCATAAACATTGACAAAAAGCGAAAATTAGTTCCAGCTCTTACATTTCTGTGTATTAACTATTTAAACATCACACTGTTACTTGTATTGATATAATTTGAGTTTGCCTTCAAAGTTTTCAATTTTTTCCTGGCATTTAATTTGTTAAAAATAAATGCGATCAGGCATTTTTGAAAAGTACACAGGCATTTATGTTCTTTGTTCCCTCTTGTGGCTTGCCCAGGCAAAACTTTTGGGTTTTACTTTATCAGTAAGTCAAGCAGTTGTCTTTCTCATAGTAGTTTAGGGACTCAGTTAAATGAATTAGTGAGGTTTACAGGTTGATGAGGGTAACTTCAGTACTGTGGTTTTGACTGTATCCTTATATACAGTAATAAAAACCACATTGATATGCAGCGGAAGACACTTCTATGGCTTTGTAAATGATACTGAAACTTTATTGAAGAAAAATAGATGTAGAGAAAGCGAATTTCAGCAGGGAAGAAAAATCGAAATTTTTTTTTTTAATATATATATTACTAAGAACTGGATATCAGCTGTATGTAGATATTGTACCCCCTCCTGGTTTTGACACCTGCTTAAATTCCAAGTGTAATGAGTCTTTTAATCTCAGTTCAGTATCCACGTTTGCTTATAAATGCAAATTCAGTGTCATGTTGCTTTAGCAGGTAACAAAGTCAGTATTGGTTAAAAGAATCATAGAATGTTGGGGGTTGGAAGGGACTTCCAAAGATTGTCTAGTCCAACCCCCGTGCCAGAGCAGGATCACCTA